AGTTTCCAAAGCCCTGTACACAGAATTGAAGACTTGGCTTGACAACAAATGCTTCCAGATGACTGACTTGAGCAAAGTGTCTAACATCATGACTTCACGCTACGTATACAAATGGAAGTTTGTCAAGAACGAAAAGGGCGAAATGGAAAGGACGATCAGGTTGCGCTTGGTACTCCGTGGCATCATGGACCTTGAAGCCTTTGATGTCGAAACCTTCTCTGGCACGGCAAGGAGGTCAAGCCAGAGACTGCTCGCAAGTTCTGCTGCATGCAACAAAGCTTGGATCATCGCTTCCCTGGACATCAACATGGCTTTCTTGAAGGGGCTGACCTATAGCGAGCTCGCCGCGGCAACGGGCGAGAAAGAACGTGTGGTGTGCTTCACACTACCTCCTGGGTCAGCAGCTGTCCTTCGAACACTGCCAGGCTTTGAGTCATATGACGAATCAAAGCATTGTCTTCGGTGTCTGAAGCCGGGGACGGGCACGAAGGATGCTCCCAGGGCATTCTCGTTGAAGCTCAGGTCCATCACTAGGAGCTTTGGGCTACAGCCTACTTCATACGACGAAGAGTTCGAGATGAGCCCAAACCTCTTGACAGCCAAACACGTTGATGACATCAATATGACTGGGAAGGAAGATGCTATTGACAAGTATGTCAAATGTGTTGAAGATACGTTTGGAAAGTGCAAACTGAACAAGCACACATACACAAACTGTGCCGTTCGGTACAACAAGACCGATGATGGGAGCGTCACTCTTGATCAGGACGAATACATCAAACAGCTTCGTCCTATCACACATCCAGAACTCACAGGAGCTGATCCTGAGAGCAAAGCGACAAAGACGATTTCTGATATGTTCGTCAGTCTTCGTGGCGCTCTAGCCTATGCGTTGATCACGCAGGTATGGCTGATGGTCTATGTTGTCTCACTACAACGTATCCAGGAACCGACAAACATCCAGGTACGACGACTAAACGCGGTTACCAGGAAACTACAGGCAGGTCCGAAGAAGATCGTGTATCAAGCTATGACCCCAACAGGAGAAGTCGACCTGCATAGCGATTCTGGCTATCGTCGTCTCAACGGAGATGAAGACGACGAAGTCAAAGGCTATGGTATCCGCGGGGCTAACCTGCTGAGGCGTGGCCACACGCAAGCGGGGAAACCCGTCGTGCACCTGGTGGACGCATACTGCAAGTCTCATCGACTGCAGGTGCGTTCGAGCTACTCTGCGGAAACACTGGCAGCAGCCCACAACTTGGAAGACTGCTACCCGACCATTGTAACGCTCCACGAGCTACACTCGGGACCATTGACCCCCACACAGTTAAAGAACATATTGGAAATGGGTGGTCTATGTATCAAAGTCACTCTGACTATTGATGCCGAGTCTGTCTTCAAGTCTTTGTCTAGCAAAGATCTGAAGAAGCCCACAGAATGTACTCTGCTTGGGCACATTAGCTGGATCCGCCAGATGATGGAGCGCGGAATCGTTGAAAGCGTTCAATGGTGTGACACGCGGGATATGACTGCCGATGGTCATACCAAAGGTAGTATTGACCGCGCGTTGCTCCTACAAGTAATGGCCGGCCAGCAATCCTTCAAGCACGAGCTGAAGAAACATACCCCGTATAGGGCGGGCAGGTCGTCTCAGGACGGCCCTGCCTCCCGAGCTAGCGGGGAAACCCGCGTGCAGGTGCGCTCTAGTAGCGAGGAAACTCGCCGGTAGCGAGGCTACTCGCGCGCCCTTGCCTTGTAGGCAGCCGCTGCTGCTTAGCACTGTTTTTCCGCGTAATATAGAAGTGCGGTGCCTGCTCGTCTCCTCCCCCTCCGACTTTAAACGGAGAAGGTTAAAGGCGAGGTATAAATCGAGCATGTACCGCTGCCGTGCCTGGCTCAAGCCGGGCCCGGTCTAATATATGACTGTGCCTCACCGAGGCGCACGACTGGTATCTGAGATCGGAAAATACCTTTTCCATTGAAGATGCCCCTTCTATCCTTTACTCCAGATCCCATGCTTCGTCTCGCTCTCTTGCTCGTGCGATTTGAGCCAAAGCCTGGGATATGGCAACGCTTGAAGCGTAACACATACCTAAGCCTACCAGCACGTTTTCGACTCACGAGGGCTTCCAAGGCCTGACGGCTGCGCCCGACGCAAGCTCTCCCGCTCTCGCGGACCCTGCGCGCACTGCCTTGCGAGCACTGCGCGAGGCTGAAGCAGCTCGGTCGGCGCGAGTGCGGGTGCAGAGAACATTGTACGTCTCTCTTCACTCTTCCCTTTCCCCCGATCGTTTTCACCTCACCCTGCAGAGGCGTGTGGCCAAGTGGGAGCTCAAGGTTGAACAAGGTTTCTGGCCTCCCCTGCGGGACCTCTTGAGGTCTGTGTCGCCCGCGTGGCAGTCTGCCGCGCTCAAGACGATTTCAGGTGCATGGCTCACGACTGCGAGGCTCCATACAGTAGGCGGCGTCGCCAAATGCAAATTCGGGTGCAGTTGTGATGCGGGTGTCGACACATTTAAGCACTATGCTCGTTGCCTGGTCGTGGGCTTACCCGCAAGAGGTCCCTGCCCCTCAGAACCCGATCACTAGATTAGGTCTCGACCACACCCCGAATGCACAGGTTGTCGAGGCCATCGTAACTTCTTTCCACATGTACAATATCGTACGTGTTTCGCCGCCGCCCCCCCCCCACAGATGAGGAGCGGATTGGTCATCTTTACGGAATTCGCCGAGCAGCTATGGCTCTCGCCGGTCTCTCACGTGCGCCCGCGTAGGCCCGACCCTGGAGGACCTTGTGAGCGCCCCCTTGGGTACGAGCGATATATATATATATAATATATATATATATTATATATATATATATATATATATATACGCGCACTCTCTCTCATATCTATATATATATATGTTTATCGGGATAACTCGCTTACATATGTGTATTTATAGGTATACATATCGTTATATAGGTATACATATCATTTTCGTTGAGCAGTATATATATATATACATGCATGCATGAGCCTCTATCCATATGCAAGCAAGAGCGCTCTCTGTGGACGCTGGGCAGCGGGAAGGGGGGTCAAACCGGCCCCCTTTCCATTGAATTGCAAGGGGGCAGGGGTTCGAACCGCCACCCTCGCCTCCGTCAAGGGGGGGGGGTTTGAACCCCCCCCTTGCATTCGTCAGTGGCGCACGACGGCGGCGGGAGCCGGCGCTTGCGACGGCGCCAGCGCCGGCGCCGACCACGATTACGACTACGACGACGATGTCGACTACGAAGACGACGACGACGGTGTCGGCGGCGACGGTGGCGACGACGACGGCGGCCATGGCGGCGCCAACGCCGACGCCGACGCAGACGCCGACGCCGACGCCGACGCCGGCGCAGACGCCGACGACGACGACGACGACGACGACGAGGACGACTACGACGACGACGTTGTTTTCACGAAAAGAGGATGGAACCCTGGTAGTGAAGTTGGATCCGGTCCTAGTACGATTCTATCAGAGCTGGATCGAGCTCCAGTAGGATTTTATCAGACCTGGATAAGTCCGGATAGAATTCTGTTAGAGATGGGTCGAGCCTTCGTAGGATTGTACTATATCTGGATCGAGCTCCAGTAAGAGTCGATTAAAGCGGGATTGAGCTTCATTAGAATTGCATTGAGGTTGGATCGAGCCGATGCAGGATTCCATTAAATCTGGAAGCCCTCCCTGGATTCTGTCAGGACTGAATCCAGCTTGGACGCTATTGGAACTGGGCCGAACCCTCGTAGGAAGCGATTGGAGGTGGGTCCAACCCTAATGGAATTCTTCTAAACTTGGGCCCAGCCCTAGTAGGTTTGCGCTAGAGCTGGGCCGAGACCTGATCGGATTCAGTGAGAGCTGGATCCACCCCCTCGTAGGATTCTAATAGAGC